ACCGATAACTCATCCGTCAATGCATCGGAAAAATTTCTAATAAAAAAAATGTAATTTTTCCAATATTGAGAAAATATATACATGTACGTAATAGTAATGATAATAATAATAATAATAATAATAATAAATAAATAAATGCTCCGATAAAAAACGCTTGTAACAAGTAATAAAACAAACAAACACAAAACATGTAACAACAATAACGAGGACGACGACGGTGACAAGAGAACATCAGGATGAATCGTGGAGCGTCCTAGCTGGCGTTTTGTCGAGTGGCGGGCGCAAGAGCCACCAGGGCCACCTGGGGCACCTTCCTGCCAGGCGTCTTTCTGAGCCCGATCATCCGCTGCGCGGTCTGCAGCTGATGCTGGGGATTCGTAGCGCCAGCCGGCAAGGGCGCTATCAGCCTCTCCCTCGGCCTCGTTTTGACTACCACCTCCGGCTGCTGCCTCGGCTGCAGATGCTTCGGTTGGTGCTGCTGTACCGGCTGTTGCTGAGAACGCTGCTTCGGCTTAGAGTCGAGCTCGGCCATCGCCTCCTGGATGGCGTTCTCCAGCTGCGTATTCAATTTACGACTTCTAAAAGGGAAAGTTAAAGCGATCTGTCAGACGGGCTGGCTCTTTTTTTTTTTTTTTTATAATAATCGATGATAATAATTAATGATAATCGTAATAATAACATCACTCGCGTCCTAAAATCTACGACTTATTTACAGATTTCTGTTGTAGGTATAATTACATTTATACTCATTCAAGATAATATAATACTAAGACATCTTCAGAAGAAAAATCTGTTCATCGTTAACGTAATCATTATTTTCATTTTACACGTAAAATGGCGCCAAACGGATTTCGACGCACGTTTCTTTACAACAATCCACAAATAGTCTTTCGGAAGAAATAATTATTTCTACGCTCATCTTCGTGATCTACGTACACACATATATAATATAAGCTTTGTTTATTTTGATACTAGTTTTCGTCGATTTATTGTCTATTGTACGTTGTAAAGCAAAGTAAAATGCATAAACTTTTCACCTCAAGCGCAATGTCAAATATATTTTGACGGAAAGAAAGCATCAGCATCACCGGTAGACTTTCTATTTTTGTAGGTCGTCATTACTTTTTGGTGATAAAAGCTGCACAAGCGTAATACAATTTGTTTTTATAGTATCAACATTTACATAAGACGCTAGGACAACTATTTATTATTTTTATTTGTTTCTTTATAAAAATTTTCGATTCTCAGTCGCGACTTTATCCAGCCGATTCAATAAAATTTCTGTTTTTTACCACTATTTTCTATACAATAAATCTTTACACGCTTTTTAAAAATTTTTTTTCCGCTATACTCGTACTATAC